CTGCCCGTTTGCCTTCTATTACGTAAATAAAAAAAAAGTAAATGCATTTTTAAAAGTTAAACTCAATACTAAATCTTTAGCTTCATTTTTTTTTATTAAGGAATGCTATAGAGTTGTTAATTACAAATTGGTAGAATCAAATAACAACATGCGGCCAATCTTTAGAGTTCGCTACTTTCCTGTATTTAGTAAGTAAGTGTTTCTTGCTCATTCTTCTCCATATGAAACTAGCTTTTAAAACGGGCAACTAGAGTCATTTTTTTTTTTAAACTTATAATTTTGACTTTCAATGTGCCTTTATAATATGCCTAATTGAAATAAATGTTTCAACTTGAGTTAAAGATATTGTCTTAAATGACCATGTTTATATAGATACACTAAACAAAAAGTTGAATTGTTTTGGGAATCTAGAACTCCGTTAAAAATATCACTAAAATCGAAGTTTATCTGTGTATCGGATTCGGGACACATTTTAAACTATTTTCGTGTTCCTCATTCACTCTCTTGACACTTACATACCAGATAACGAACAAGTACACTGCATTTTAAACATGATTTATGACTGTGGGGTCCTGCGTGTGTATTAATCGTCCCTACTGCATAATTTATATGTCACCTTTGACATTTCTACACATAAAAATCACATATTCTTTTGAGTATGTCTTTATTCTCGATGGCTTTATGTAAAATGTTTTGTTAGAAAATAAATTAATTGTCTTGAGACACACGTCTTCATATTTATGTGAAACATAAGATAGCACCCTCTAGTTACGCGCATAATTAAATCAAATTGGATGCTCCATTCCAATGGAAATAAGAAAAATGTTTTTTTTTATACAGAACAGAGGGAAAACGGGCAGGAGGCTCACCTGATGTTAAGTGATACCAGCGCCCATGGACACTCAATGCCAGAGGGCTCGCGAGTGCGTTGCCGGCCTTTTAATAATAATAATAGCCTTTATTACCAAAACTTAATAATCAACATTGAAGTTTCATTTATATGGATCCTAAAAAAATTACTTTAAACAATAGGTAAAATAAAATGTAACTTAGGTTATATAACTTACTTATAATATGCTTGCATTATCAGGTTTTGGTTTATCCACCGTTGGACATAGTCCTCCTCTATTCGGTTCCGTATCTGTTGTAGGCCAGGCGCGGCCAGGTGACTTTTCGACACTGGTTTCAATTCGCTGTATTTATTTTCAGTGTTTTGAACGGGAAAAATGTTCTTGAGTGATTCATGTTATAGTGGGTATTTAAGCTAGCAAAAAAATATGGAGGTTAAATGATAATAGCTTTTAATGTATGTTTTATTAGTAATCATAACAATCAAATATACAGTATTTACAATTTTCTTAATCTACATAGTAATAATAAAAAGAAAATGAAATCAAATTTAAATTTTGGTCCCTGCGGCAGTTCGCCTTGAACGCTGGCAGCATTTCCTCGGTGTATTGCGATACTTATTCGTAGAGCGAGGAAAGCACCAGCTCTGGGGTCACCGGTACTATCTACCAGGCGCCAACTTAAATCTTTAATTAGCGCCTGTGTACTTGAACCCCACGGCGCAAGAGTCTCTACTCCAAAATCGAAGTTGGAGGAAGATTGCTTATTTGAGCCGTTTATTATTTTTCGCCTGCTCTGCGGCCGAACTAGCTTTTTTGCTTGTCCGAGGGAGGTGAGACGGGGCAAATGTGTCCACACATGTAGCATCCAATACCAAACCATACTTTTTAATTAGCACATTAACATTCATAAAATCCAACATAACACTGCGTACATTTTCTCACGTAACTTTGTATTTACAAATGAGTTTTATTAAAAAAAGTCACCAATGACATTTTAAATTCACAATTGGGGCTAGAATATTGTAATAAAAAAACTATTGAAATATTTGACGGTGGCACGTGACCAAATTAGGGTTAAACAGTCGCTTAGTTTAAATTGATATACGACCATTATTTATTGCTGTTGTAACCGCACTAGATAAGATATTATTACTATTAGGAAAAGATAACTCTATGGACATGACAGGACAATTTATAGGCATTTTTTTAATATTTGTAAATAGACAAAGAGTACAACGGTTGTTTTTCAACTTTACGTTGTACTATTTTAAATTTCTCGTACGTCATGAAGCGAGAGAGTTATGTTGGGATTCAGGACTGTAGCAAGTTGAAATTCGTGGTTCTTGCCTAGCCCGGGACAAAGGCGTGCGTATATAATTATGTTTATAGTAAACTTTAACTTTTGTTTCCACCGCATATTTCATTAATTTATTTGTAGTTTTATAATAATAATACTTGTACACATCGTGTATTTATTCTCCGATGCCAAACGCTATCTTGGGGATCTGTTTATTAATCAAATTCTCGTATTTTTTTGTAATAAATTAGTTTAATCAGTACTCTGTGCCTGACATACTCATGTCTACTGGATCTAAAACATAGCGGTTTCCACCCGTACATTCATCGTATATATTTCACTTAAAGATAAATTGGTGTTTAGGATTCGAAGACATGATTAAAACAGACTAGAGGTTGGACCGAGCTGTGTTGGCCTAGTGGCTTCAGCGTGCGATTCTCTTCCTTGAGGTCGTAGGTTTTATCCCATTAATAGACTTAGTCTATGTGCGCATTTAACATTCGCTCGAAGGAAGGAAAACATTGTGAAGAGACCGGCTTGCCTTAGACCCAAAAATTTTAAAGCCGAGCACAGACTATTAAATATCTTTATCAGACTATTAAATTGACACATAACACATGCAGAAATCCGAGAACTTTAAAGGTTGGTTTAGAAGATAAACCCGAACTTAACCACTAGTCTAACTACCAAATACACAACAATAGTGTCAGATAGTGTTTATTAATAACACAAATAAATTGCCAAGCATTGCGTGTGATAAATAGTCGCGATCTTGTGGGCGTATGTTTCAATCATAATCCGAATAATAGCGCATTTGGGATTACACTCACGTTATGGATTTGGTTAGCTTAGTGATGCGATTTGGAACTGTTACACAACATTCAATTGATCTAAAATCTAGAGCGGGCTTTGTACATCGGAGTTTATTTGCAGTTTTTCGAATTGTATAAATGTATAGCTCGGTATTTGGAGTGCTTATTAATGAATATACCAATTTAAGGAAACAGCGGGTGGTACGTGCAGAGTGGCACAGTGCCAAACACACAACAACACACAGATACAGAAAAGGTGATAGAAATATAAATGTGTTTAAGTGTAAAAGTATCTTAAATAAAGTACTAGACATTTAAATAAAATATTATTTTTAATGTATGTAATACATTTGCGTTAAATATATAAATACATTTCGTTATTTTTTTATGTAACAGGGGGCACTTAATATCAGGTGGCTCATCTGATATTAAGTGGTACCGGTACCCATGGACACTTACTCGTACGTACATTGCAAGAAGGCCCGCAAGTGCGTTGCCTTTTAAGAATTGGTACGCTCTTTTCTTGAAGAAAAAAATAAATTTAATAATATTTCAGTCACCACCACTTATTTGGGTTTTTTATGGCTAAAATATGCCGTTTTTCTAACGATGTTTATCTTCACAAGCCGATGCAGTGGGCCTAGTAGCTCCAGCGTGCGTCTCTCATCCCTGAGGTCATACGTTCGATCCCCGTCTGTGCACCATTGGAGAGCAAATGTTATAGTGTCTCTATGCGCATATAACATTTGCTCGAACGGTGAAGGAAAACATCGTGAGGAAACCGGCTTGTTTTAAACCCGAAAAGTCGATGGCGTGTGCCAGGAGGCTGATCAACTACTTGCCTATAAGACGAATCAGATCATGAAACAGATACAGAAATCTGCGGATCAGTTGTAGCGCCACTGATTTATTGATTTTTTATCTACACGAGCTAATTACAAAAAATGCATTAATGCATGGCCATGGTAAGAATGCACATCATTACGGTAGGGATTTACGCCACTAGGCCAACACTGTTCTCGCCATTTTATTAATACTTTTTAATATATTGTTTTTATTAAAGTTCGCTCGAGACTTATTGTGATGAAGGATTAGCATGACAGAAAATCAAGTTATTACAAATCGCGCATGCGCATCACTAAGTTGGCGTCATTAAATCATAGCACAGCTGTCGAAATTTTGGCGTCTAGCCATTGATTGCTTTATGAGCTCGGGAGAATCTCGAGAATGCTGGTTAATCTTCATAATACTTTTGTGATGCGGTTGAACTATGAAAATAGCAATAAAAGTTTATACAATTATATAACCTTAAAGTTACTATCGACTCGGTTTTATACGATCTTTTCATAAAACCTATTCGCCGAGACCTCTGTGCGTTACTTCAGTGTAGTACTAAGTCTTCAAATTTGAATTTCGAACACAATAATCATTGCAACAGATAAAAATAACATCCACAGACCACTATTTCTAAAGTATATAGTAAATTCATCAAATTTATTATGTTATTATTATTTGGTCTAGTCCTATTCCGACAACCATATTTAATAAAACAATAGCTCCAAAAGGCAGAAGCTAAAATATTATAATTCAATTCCAATTCTCTATGCGTACCTAATTTTTGTAGCTTATATGTATCGCCAATTTAATGTGTGACTCTGAGTGCGCCTTTTAGTCGCTAAAAAGGCCAGCTATCTCTAAACATCGAGCATATGTAGCTATTCGTAATTGTTTACGAAATTTACCAATAAATAGACAAAAGCTAGGTAGTTCGGAAATAGTCCGTAAATAGTTCATAATCCTGATATACACCTAATTGCATTATGCAAATCAAAGGGATTGAATTACGACGAATTAATGTTAATGTCATAATCCGCGCTACGACTTAGGTATGAAGTTATCCAGCCTTTGAGTACTTCAAACGTATTTTGACTTGGCATCTCAAACGAGGCAGTCAGAATAAACTGTTATAACATACTGTGTCGTGTTCTGTGTATTAATTGCATTGTTTTTTTAGTTTTAGGATTGAATAATTGGATAAATATGATCACAATTATGAAGTTATTCTTCTTGATTTTGGTAAGTTTTGGTAATACAGTATTTGTAATTTAAGATTTGTTTTTAAGCTATTTAACGTTATTTATTTATAACTTTTAAGATAAGATATTTATAATAAAACAACAAAAACATAAACGATTACCATTTTTATTTATCTGTATTGTAACTTATTTATTTATTTATTTATAAAAGCTTGCCAAGATTTGAGAGAGAGATTGAGGGATTTGAAAGATAGATAGTAGCCGATACTCAGACTTACTGAATATGCATAAAAAAAATCATAAGAATCGGTCAAGCTGTTTCGGAGGAGTATGGGAACGAACATTGTGACATGAGAATTTTATATATAGATAATTATCTACCTTGCTGCTAAAATTTCTTATATTATAATATAAGAAAATTTAGCAGCAAGGTTTCTGAATTGCTGTTATTATTATTATTATTATTATTATTATTATTCCTACATAATTGTGTATATACGCGGATGCTTGGCGGACCTATGCGACTTCTTCAATACAAAGAGTCCCCTCGTGAGTGTGTGCGATATTGCGGACTACTCGATTGTGAGGAAGTTGCATGGATCTGGGTAGCGCTGCGCTTTCTTTAGTTCTCATGTTATTTTCACACGTTATCCTTTCTATAACATATTTTCTTAAGTATATAACTGTCCTCTATGTACCACGTGTGATGTTTGAGAGCAAAATAAATTATTCAAAAATATAAATAATATATTTAAACAGAAAACATTTCTAAAGTTATCATATAATTAACATAAGCGCAAGGCAATTAAATAAGCAAAAATATATCATTAATTATATGTCACTTAACTGGTTAACTTATGCGGGTTGGTCCACTCACGTTTAATCCTAATTAATTGGCTATTAGTAGACGTTTTCAATTACCACCTCCATTGATTTATATGGTAACTATTAATTTATTAAGGCCCCCGAGATCATTGTAATCAGATTTGGAATAATAGGTTTGCCGCATTTAATATATTAGAAATTTATTTTTATTAAATTTCTCAAATTTTTTGGTAGGTCGTAACTTCGTAAGTGAAAAAAAAACCATATAGGTAAACATATTATGTCCAGATGTTAATGCAATGTGTTAGCTTTTAATATTTATTTAATAAAATTCTAAACATTTTTTATGAAACATATTCTTAAGAATCTAGCTACAAGTGCGCATGTGCAATAGTTACTCATTTGACTCTTTCGGTTGTTTACGAATTGTTACGAATTGACTCGAACAACTGCCCGAAGTGGGATGTTCGGGTCGGAGTAGGGAATAGATTATAAAAGAGGTTGTAACACATGCGCACGGACAATTCCTTTGTTCAAGTTTGAAGTTATAGAGTTTACGTAAAATCAGTGAAGTGAATTATAGTGAATCAAGTCATTATTGGAGTGTTAAATTTTCTACCCTAAGAACTAAATCAACTATCTACAAATGATTTATAATAATAAATAATAAAGCGACATCTTTCATCTGTTCTGAAAGAAATTTCAGCATTCAACTCATCCTTTTTGGGCAATATTGAATATAATTGCCATAAAGTTATGAAATACGCTCTCAGATTTGCTACTTCTTTTGTCTCTCAAAATTCTTCTACATAATCATCTCTTGACGTAATTTTTGGATTTCATTCATTCAGTTTTATCATTCTGTTTATGTTTCTTTTTATGGTTTTTCCAAACCAGGCATTCATTCAATTATATATATGTACTAGCTGCCCCCGCGAACATCGTTTCTCCTTAATGTGATTTTACTTAGCCTACCTTTTTTAGGATAAGGTCACTCATTTACCCACATTTGTGTCAGTATTATGTTCACTATTTTCTTATGTGCCAAGCAATATAAAGACATACAAATAACAAAAGCCTTTTATTTTCAGTATTATATAAGTTTACACTTCTTACAATTTATTTTTAGTGTTAGTTCATGTTATTAATCTATATTAGTTAAAAATATATACATATATATTCCTTTTAAATACTTAATCTACTGGAACCCCAAGTTGGGTGTAGGCCTCCTCCAGTGACGCCCATTTATCTCTGTCCTCGGCCACTTCACTCCAATTTCGACCAGCTATCGCTTTAATGTCGTCTTCCCATCGCGTAATAGGTCTACCTTTTGTTCTTTTGCCTAGTGGGCCTTTCCAGAAAGTTACTTTTTTAGTCCATCTATGGTCAGTTAGCCGGGCAACATGTCCTGCCCACTTCCATTTCAGTTTTTTTGCGTAGCTTAAAGCATTTGTTGCTTTGGTTATTTTTCTTATTTTAGTATGGCGTATTTTATCTGATTTTCTGATCTTTAGCATACTTCTTTCGAGTCCTCTCTGACAGACGATTATCTTTTTTCTTGTTTCAGCAGTGAATTTCCACGTTTGGCAACCATATGTCAAACAAGGCAAGAGGCTTGAATTCATGACTTTGGTTTTAATGTCTTGTGGTAGATCACCTTTAAAAATTTCCTTGAGACCCCAAAATTTGTTCCATGTTAATTTTAATCTTTTCTCTATTTCTGTATTTTTATTTTTTCTGTGAAAACTTATGGTTTTTCCCAGATAGACATAATCTTCAACGTATTCCAATGGTTTGTTATTGATTGTTATTGGTCTTTGAGAGCTGTTTGTCATTGTCTTAGTTTTTGTAATGTTCATCTCTAGGCCTACTTTTCCACTAGCTTGGTTCAGGGTTTCTACCATGCTCTGTAGTTGGGAAGATGACTCGGATAACAGTACTAGGTCATCCGCGAATCTCAGGTGACTCAAGTAAGTACCGTCTATGTATAGACCTTGTTTACTCCAATCTAGCTTGCTAATGATCGACTCAAGAACAGCTATGAATATTGTTGGAGACAGCGGGTCCCCTTGTCTTACTCCTCGTTCTATTGGAAAACTAGGGCCTAATGTTTCAAGCTTAATTTTACCTTTATTGTTTTTGTATATGGATTTGATGATTTTTATATATATTTCCTCTACTCCCTGTTCTTTCAAGCTTTCCCAGATGCTGTTATGTCTTACTGTATCAAAGGCTTTTTGGTAGTCTATGAATGATATATAGAGTGTTCTTTGTTTTTCCTGATACTTTTCCATTATCAACTCAAGGGTATGGATGTGGTCGACTGTTGAAAAGCCCCTTCTGAAGCCTGCTTGCTCCACTGGCTGTTTTTTTCCAATGTGTCTCTAATCCTTATGTTTATAATTGTGGAGAAAAGTTTATATAGACTCGGCAGCAAGCTGATTGGTCGGTAGTTTCCGATATCCTTCGGGTCGCCTTTTTTGTAAATTAGTATGATGTTGGATTTGGACCATTGGGAAGGTGTTTCCGACTCTTGCAAGATCTTGTTAAACAGTTCCGCTAGCGGCAGTGCTAGAGTTTTGTGTCCAATTTTTAGTGTTTCGTTCGTAATATTATCTGAACCAGGGCTTTTATCTAGTTTCAGTTTCTTTATTGCTTCAATTATTTCTGTTGCGTCTATGAGTTTAACGTTATTTCTAGGTGTAGCATCTGTTTCTGTGACAAGATTAAATGATTTCGTGTCTCTGTTTCTGTAAAGATGTCTATAAAATTCTGTTGCGGTAGATATGATGTCGCCTCTAGTGTACATTTCTGTATCTTTTTTCCTCAGTCCTTCTATCCATGATGCATTAGTTTTGAGCTTCTTATAGGCCTTCTTTGTACTTCCATTTCTTTGTAGATGTTCTTTTATTGTGTCTTTCCTATATCTTTTGTAGTCTGCTTTTATATACTTATTGACTACTTTGTATATTGCGGACAATTCATTTTTCTGACTTCGTGATTTGTTTTTAGTTTTCTGTAGTTCCTTCCTTCTTTTTAGTAGCCTTACTGTACTTGCCGATAGTATTTTATGTTGTTTATTTTCTTCTCTCTTTGGGCGAGCTTGTTTCAAGCTAAAAGTGATAGCCTTTTCTATCATGTCGTAGCAGTATTGTACCGTGGTGTTTTCGCAGCTAGTTGTAGATAGCTGTGATATTAGGTTTTCGTTGAACTTACTTATTTCCTCTTCGCTCTTTAATTTGCTATTTTGGCTGTTTGTAAACTTGGCTCTTGATATTTTTTGTTTGTTTAGTGTTATTGTTGATCTGACTATTCTATGATCGGAATTGTAGTTCAGATTGAGCGTCTCGATGTTTTGGAATATTCTATGTTGGTTAGACAAGATAAAATCGATTTCGTTTCTGTATTGTCCTCCTAACGGACAATACAGAAACGAAATCGATTTTATTGCTCGCTGATTGATCGCCAGGTCCATCTTTTGCTCTGTCTTTTTTTAAAACATGTGTTTATTATCATTAATTTGTGTTGGAGCGCAAACTTTACTAGTCTTTGTCCTCTTTCTTATGTGCCAAGCAATATAAAGACATACAAATAACAAAAGGAAATAGCAAAAAGGTTAATCGACATCACAGGAGACCGAAGAGCTGGCAGCTACCTCGGACAAAGAATTAGTCTAGCTATTCAAAGGGGGAACGCTGCCAGTATCTTCGGAACCTTGCCTAAAGGGACTCCTTTTAATAATATATTTTAGTTATTATATTTTAAGGTTAGTTATTATTACTATTATATTTATATTATTGTAGGTTAGTAATAGTTTTTATTTTTGTCTTTGTATAAATATTGTAATTAATAGTATAACATTTATTTTGTCACCTTAATAACAAAAGTAATATAACATTTTAATTTACTTATTTTTGTGCTTAAAAAATATGGTCGTTTCCATTACTGTTATCACGTTATAATGGAACGCCCAAACAAGGAGATTTCGTGTTAATTTATAACTTAATTTCCATATGAATTAAGTCATAAAATATAAATAAAAACAAATGGATATTTTGCGCTTGGATGTGAAAGGTTAGTTTTTATAGAGCCATTTATTTTACAAGTTATTTTATTACGATTATAACTTTTAAAACCGCCTACCTTAGTGAAAAGTGAAAACTGTTAACGGTCATGATTTCTTTTACATTTAAGCAAGCTTTATTCAGTTCGTCGACAACCAATCCGTTTCCGAGCGCCTTGATCCCTTGGCGTTGCGTAAAGATGCGGAGTTACACTGCATCTTTTACCGCATTAACCACGGAAAGTGTTCTGAGGAGTTGTTGAATACCTGTAGTTGGGTTTCATCAGACACAAAACAAAATACCACCCGTATCACGTCGTTCCGTCGTTCCACAATTGAGCGTTTTTAAGGCAGTTTTTGCCGCGCACCACCACTACGGAACCAGCTGCTTACTGAAGTATTTCCGAAGCAATTCGACCGATAGGGTCCTTCAACAAAAAAGCATACCAATTCTTAAAACGCCGGCATGCACTTGCGAGATTTATTGCAGTGTCCAGTCCATCACTTAACATCAGGTGATCCCGTTTGCCCCCTGTTATATAAATAAAAAGATTCATATAACAGCTATAATATCACTGATTCACTTCTTCTTCGTAGTCTTCATTACTGCCCAAAAGTAAAAGTAAAAAAAGTCAATTTTCTTATAAAAACGCAAAATAAATTACAACTCTGCAGGGGTTGAGCTTAGGGACCTCCCGTAGAACAATTTTTTGCAGCTGATGACCTCATCTATCCCCTAGTTGCGTCTGATCCACGACTTTTTGACCACTCTTTATACCTAGAAAGATAATACAATTTTAATTATTTTTTTAATTCCACTGTGTAGTGACTATGAAATATCGAACAGTATAAAAATATATGGAAAAATTCCATAGTTTTTTTGTAAAACATTCGTTTATTTTCAACACGGTAAGTTGTTTCTGAGTTATTTAAAATGCACTCGAAACCAGTTCAAAATAAACAATTTTCAACATTTGCACACAAACAGTTTCAAAGTGACGATTTGCATAATGCGTTTTGAACATGCGTCTCTTAATAAGCTTTTAAATATGCAACAACAAAATTAAGAAGTGAAGATTTTTCGCTCCTGATTATGGAATAAAAATTAAGTTAGTTAAATACTGTATGTTATTATATGTTGATATATTTAGTTAAGGCTTGGTCATATAGACATAACCGTATATGTATGTATATGAATCAGGTAATCTCATAAATATTATAGCGGTACCGACAGACGTTGTCTTGGACACACGTGAACATACAAAAATTTCGGCCACTAAGTATACATAGAACTTCTCTACCTCACTCAGCCTTTGGGCCAGCCCGTCAGATGTTGGACTGGTCGAAGATCCTCCCTTATAAAACCAACACCCAATAAAAAAATCATAACCATTTTCGAAGTAATTTGAACACGGACAATTTTTTTTTCACAGAAGTTTAAGCGACTCTGTGATCTCTGCAATCAGAGATATTGAATACTCACTATAACGTGCCTTCGTCAGGGCTTTGGCCATATCCAACAGTCCTTTAGTTGTGTTAAAATAGCCTTACTGAACATTAACTAATTAAAAAAAATGTTATCATAAAATTTATTTCACTATCCATAAATTATAACAATGTAAAGATTCACTCTATCTATCTGTTAGGAAAATATCTCTCATAGAACACTTACCTAACTCCGATGTTACTTCATTTATTCATCCTTTCATTTATGGTGTTAATTAAAGACGCGCCTGGCGCCTTCAACGTTACATTAGTGTGACACCTACTTAAAAAGTAATTATGGACGACCACGATGCTGTCGGTATTAATTGATAAAATTACGGAATATGTATAGTTTTTATTTTACTAAGTCAACCTCGGTTCAAGAACAAAGATCAATATCGGTGTGATACATACAAACACAGCTGTTAAACAAAAAGGTTTCTATGAAAATGTGTTGTGAATTTATAATTGTAAACTTTTAGATATACTTAAAAACATCAGTACTAACTATATAATACTAGCTGACCGGGCAAACGTCGTTTTGCCATATATATCATTTATAATAAAAAAATAGGGGTTGATCGTAGAGGGGTGAAAGTTAGGGGTTTGTATGTATTTTTTAATGCTGTATCATAAAAAAATAAAAACAGAAAAAAATATCCAAAAATAAAAAAAAAATATTTAGGGGTGGACTACCCTTTACCCGTTAACATTTAGGGGGATGAAAAATAGATGTTGTCCGATTCTCAGACATACCCAATATGCACACAAAATTTCATGAGAATCGGTCGAGCCGTTTTGGAGGAGTATGGCAACGAAAACTGTGACACGAGAATTTTTTATATTAGATTAGTTTTGGTACTCATCGACGCCAATAAAAAGTTATTCTAAATTTAAATTTACCCCTGGTTCCAAACCGAACAAACTGATCGACGAAAAACTAAAAGTGATTTTCAGAAACGAGACTTAGTCCTTTGATTGTATGTCGAATACTGATTGGATTTTGAAATACACGAAGTCACAGCTAAGTTTCTTTTCGAAACTGAATCGAACCCTGATTGTATGTCGAATAAGTATTGGATTTTTAATTACACGAAGTCACGCTATAACTATCGGTCTTTTACTAAAAATGTTGTTGTTTACACCTCTCTGAGTAGCGACTGAAGTGTATCGAATCCCTTGAAAGTACACTTATTTATTATAGCAATCAAACATAACAACAAGGCACAAGTGATGTAAAAATCTTCTTAATACCACTCATGCAAATTATTTTCCATATTTGAAATTTCTAACCTAATATGATCTATCATCATTATGATTTTGAGAATATATGTTTAAATAACGCTGTTTATCACAAAAAATCTATTATTAATCCACACCTTATACAATACAATTATATTTTATAATATTAAACACTTAATCACAGGCGGTCGGCCGAGAATCAGTTCTATCAATAGCGAGCACTCGTGAGGTGAGATGTGGAAGACGCCTAGTGTCAGGCCTCTTCTCACGTCCGCGGCTTCCTCTGGGTTACTCCTACATCACGACGGTCCCGCAGGGCGCCTGTCGGCTCAACGTCTCGGAAATACTGCCCAGCGATAATTATATAGGTGAGGATTACTGATGTTAATACGCTTACAAATGGAAGGGTAATTATTTGATGGGTTGCAGTTTATCCGAATGAATGTGCGAGAATTTGAATTGATGAGAGATATATTATTAAGGACGTTTAAATAAGGGATTAAAGTGTTGACAAATAATAACAGTAATTAATAAGGCACATTTTATGAAAAGTATTTTAGGTTACTATTTTTAAAGATTTTTATACGTGCTAATTGTTAATGCCTTTTTATTTCCCTACCCTTAATTGCTATTTCAAATGTTTTTAGTAGTAATATGTTGGGTAAAAGCCTCCTCCAATCCCTTTCCAGATGTCTTTATAGCCAATATTCTGCCAGTCCTGCTATTTTTATCAAACCACCAGCCCATGTTTCTTTCCCGGGTGGTCCGTGATAGTATTAAATCAAAATAACTTCGAAAATTGAGAGCTCCAAATTTTTTGAAATTTGATCGCCTTGACCCGTTAGGTCTTGCTATAATTTTGCCGTCTTTGAAATGATATGAATGCAACCTGCAAAATCTATCGCACTTCCCCGTTTAAGTTTCTGTCTAAATCATTTATCCTCAATGAATGATGATCTGTCGACATTCATCATTCATTATTAACCAGTGAATGGCCCTTTGATGGCAAATAGCGAAACATGAGGTTGGTCACTTACTTATTGTCGATTAGATTGATCGTAAATCATTCGTTCAATACCAAGCGATTATAATAGTTCGCCTTGCTTCAAATCAATTACAAGCTTTTTACATTGTCTGTAAACAAACGTATCTATCTACAGATTTCATTTGCCTTATGCAATTTCAATGTAAAAACTGTTTTATATTGTTGATTCTAATAGATCGGTACAAATGTTTAGATTGATATTTCAGTTCGATATTGATTGTATTGTAAACATTATTCTTTACAAAAAATTATATTCGGTGCGGTTCATTTTAGGGTTATATGTTTTACTAAAACTTTTTTTTGCCATGGTAATTTTATCGTGCTTTCTAATTTGTGTGCTGAACTGAAATATTATTATTTATAACAGTAATTATTGTGATATTAAACTGTATTCTCGTAGAAGCAATGGCACTTTTCTGTGTCCGTTTCATTCTTATAGCCAATCAATCTTCTGTATCCTCTAACACAGTGTTTCCCAACATGAGGCCCACGCCCCACAGAGGGACAATTTGATTGTTAAGTTGGGCAATCGAAATCAGCTTGATATAACACAATGTAGAGATTTCAAATTGAAGCTAACCAAATTGGAGCCCAATATAAAATCTCTGTTCAGCCAGCATCAAGCGCAAGGATCTCACTAATTTAGTTTTTTTTTATGTTTTATGTTAATATTATGTTTTGAAAATTTACTAATTGTTTCTTTAACAATTTCCTAGTGATTTCTTCCTAAAACCTAGCATTTAAATTTCTTACGTTTCTTTGAATATATGGGAGGGCATAAGAATGGGAAACACTGCTCCAAGTCTTGTGTCACTGGGACATCTGTTGGCAGTATTATACAGCTTTTCAACTTGGTTATACATTTATATATTTGTGTTTTAATATCTTTATATATATATAATTCTTCTGTGTGTATGTCACTGAACTTCTCTCAATCGACTGGACCGATTTTGATGAGATTTTTTGTGTGTGTTCAAGGGGATCTGGGAATGGTTTAGATTCACAAATCAGCCCGGCAGATGGCACTGCAGTCGGTACTTTCATACTTTGCTTAATATCCTAATCGCTTTAAATATCATGCAGGACAACGTCTGTGGGGTCCACTAGTACATTTATATATTTGTGTTTTAATACGCACGCTCTTCTAAGAGTTATGATAGCAGCCCCAAAATACATAATCGTTTGAAATACGTTTCCTACTAAGTTATCCCTAATTTACAGCCTCAATTCATTATACTATACGTTTTTGATTGCTCCTTATTGCGATTTGTTATATACACATTGTTGTTACCTTTATTTTTCAGCTTTAAAGATAACGAACGGATCGTATGTAATGAACGGTGAGTTTGCCGTTAGTGCCCCCGGAGTATACGAAGCAGCCGGCGCAAGATTCACTTACACTCGCAAATCTGGTTTGGATTCCGTGTTTGCATCTGGGCCCATACATTTTCCAATTGATATAATGGTATGATATTAAGCCTCAATCTTTAAACATTTAAACCAGTAACAATTGAAGGGTGTTTTGGAAAAACAACCAATGTTGCATTGAACAAACTTTACAGGAAGTAAATAAAACTTAATAAAATGGAAATAATGAAATAGTAACTACTTTGATATTTAATTTTGTTCAAGTTCATAAATATAAATATAATAGTAATAGAAACCTTGTGTATTTTTATTTTTTTATTTTAATGTAAAATATAAGTTTAAAGTTTGTTTATTGATTCCTTTTCCTGTTCTTCCTATGAAAATTTGTAAAAGTTTAGAATATGCTCAGTCAGTGAAAATATGATGGTATATGAAATGATACACAAATTATTGTCTTATAACTATTTAACACAAATGTGCAATGACAATAATGATAAATATCACTCACAAGCATCAGTATTATTGATTACTGTCAACTGTGAATTCTGTTGTTTGTATTGACATCCAGTTATGCTGGCGCCAATTATACTAAAACTTAACTTTAATAAAAGCGTTCATAAAGCCGTTAGAAGAGCGTTTAGTATTACTTACCCGGTACCTTACTACGGTACCTTTAGTGAATTGTAGAAATAAACCCTTGCTATTTCAGCGGTTAACTAAAAATTTATTTGTCAAGTTAAATAAAAATTCTGACAAACAGTTGGCCTTGTGGCTTCAGCGTGCGACTCTCATCCTTGAGGTCGTAGGTTCGATCCCCGGCTGTGCACCAATGGCCTTTATTTCTATGTGTGCATTTAACATTCCCTCAAACGGTGAAGGAAAACATCGTGAGGAAACCGGCTTGGCTTAGACCCAAAAAGTCGACGGCGTGTGTCAGGTACTGGAGGCTGATCACCTACTTGCCTATTAGATTGAAAAATGATCATGAATCAGATTCAGAAATCTGAGGCCCAGACCTAAAGAGGTTGTAGCGCGTTATTTATTATTTATTTAAATAAATATTCATCCACTCTTATTCCATGCTCTGAGATCTACCCTGCGATTCTGTTTAAATTGCCTACGTAATTTCTGTATACTCGTGTGTGTTTAAAAATGATACAATTTTCAGATTCTCTACACCGAACCGAACCCGAGTATCAAATACGAGTACTTCACAGACGCCATGCCTGGAGAAGTTGACATAGAATCCATTACGAAGGAGGCAGAATCTCCTCCTAAACATATACGGCGTCACCATGGTTTTGATCACTATAATGTACCGAGACACCCGGACAATGAGAATTCAATCGAAAATGTTGTCGGCACTCGAAAATTCCTTTGGAAAATATTATCATATACCCAATGTTCTCGAAGCTGTGGAGGTGGCTTTCAGGTAGGTGTTTAGGTAGGGTAGGCCGAGAAGGTAGCAGGGGAGTGTCAAATGTCCTCTCCTAAAGAGACTTTATTTGCTTAATATTAGTTCTTGGCATCTCCCGCCGGGCCCGGGCAACAACTAATCCGGAAATATCCTCATGATATTTATGGGTGAATCGGAGCCCACTGGCTGGCGGGACCCACGTTACCTCTTGTGTGTTATCTTAGTGACATATTTGACAATTTATTTTTCAGGTATGTTATATGAAGCTCTATTTTAGTTAAGAAAAGTGTTAGATGATGAAATTAATTTAAAATAACAATACATTTTTGCTAATAACATGAAAAATCGTCATTAGTTGTAGATTAAAAAAATGTAATTGTTTTATTAGCCAACAAATTTATTAGTTACGGTACACATTTTAGTACTCTATAAATTACTAACTGTACCCTGCCACGCTTCGCAGTGGCACATTGTGATTGAATGGTTGAGAAATGAGAAATAAAAATAAAGAATACATTTCATATAAGTTTAGTTTTGCAATACTTGTGGAAAAAAATGAAGCAAAAAAAACAAAAAAAAAATAATAATAAAAAAATAGATAAAAACAATCTTTGATGCGGATTATATATCATGCTAAAATTTCAGCTCGATCGATGCAGAACTTTTTGAGTTTTTGAAGCGTACACAAATCAACATAAATTTTTTATATATTATATATAGATTTACACAAATGATTCAATATTGAAAATTTTTTCAATTATTTAGTTATACAAATGCTTCAGGTATATTAGGTATAATTATTAATCACAGGTAGGCAAGTACCGATGCGTCGAATCCAGCAATACTGGTGATCGGGAAGTTTCTCCGGCACACTGCGTGGGTGCAGCTCCTGGTGGAAAAAGGAGACGTTGTGGGAACATTCCGTGTCCGCCAAGGTGGAGGGCAGCCGCCTGGTCTTCATGCCCTCAATGTGGTCCGTCAACTAGAAGTAGGATTGTTGGGTGTGTTCAAGATCATTCTAAGGGAATTACTAAGGTTTGTTATTTTACTTTTCTTTATATATGTATAGGCGGCGTCCATGCGTCGGGTTGTCTCTCTCCCTAAAATATGGCGAGGGGGCCGATGGCTGGCCATGCGTCATACTCGTGAACGGGTGCTACTTGTGGTGACTGGTCGTACTTGAATTCGTGTATGCGGTGATGTTAATTATTTCGACTATGTGTTTGCGTGTTGTTCCCACGAGAATGTAAGTGCGTGCTCCTATTTCACCATGCCTCCTGCTGATAGAGGACAAGTCTTTGTTTTTAATTTATGTTATTATTATTAATTACTTAAGATGTCATGTGGAACATGGTGTAATGGTTGCAGCTCCTTACAAACGTTGTGTAAAAAAAGCATGGCGATTAAAAAGAGTGGCGGAGTTTATTGCCAGTTCTTCTCTTCCGTTCTACGCCCTTGATTTGAGAACTGGCAGTAAATGTAAAATTAGAAGCATTAATATGTATTTCTTTAATGACGAATCACAAGTGTACATTGTGTTACCTACGTGAATAAATGATTTTTGAATTTTTTTTAAATTTTATAATAATTATATACTTAGTGAACATTTTTATCTTTATCTCTTCCGTTTATATTAAATAAATGTAAATAAACTTATTACTAGCAAATCAGTATGTCGAATAACAAACAAGGCAGAAATACTTCATTAAATTTCAGAAAAAAATTATGAAATTAATTGCATTCGATCTCGAGACCTCAAGGGTTAAATAATTTATTTATATAATATAACTTAAACTAAATTAAAATGCGTTTATTTATTTATTATTTAAATTGGTTGATTTTTCTTGAAAACGGTATGTTTGCCACAGAACGGATCTATAAATTTAAATTTTTATGTAATGTGTATGAGCCAAGGATGTACATTTTGCTCTCTTAGGCTCTTATAATCGTGGTGATTAACTAAATCGTCGGAGTTCCACCCCGAGAGTATAGCCAGGTGCAAGCACTCTTCAGCATTATAAGCATAGCATTAATAGCATTTAAATAGGGTTGGCTGGAAGGAATCGCTTGTTAGCGATAAGGCTGCCCGTTGCCTAATAACTTATATAACCTGCTTTTTTTTGTTTTTTTATATGTATGATTTTGAATATTACGGTAACGAAGTGTAAATAAATAAATAGTTATTCTTTGTGCGACTGGTAAATATAGAGTGAATCCCGTTGACACATAAACCTATGTGTGTAGGAGACAATTGAATAACTGGCGTATTGTGTTACATTTTAATTTAATTTGTATATTTTCTAGATAAGTGACGTGAAATGTCCAGCGCCGAAACCAGCTATAACTGAGAAATGCAATATCCCAGATTGTAACTCAGAAATTACTAAACCTTCGAAGAAACAAGTGGATGCCTTCAGAGATGGGCCCGTTTATACAATCGAAGTAGATTCTGGTTCGAATGTAGGGCCTGAATATAACCTTGGTACCGGCGCGTGGCTTTACACCAACTGGTCTGAGGTAAGAAAAAAAGTTAATATCATAATAAATAGGTATCCCTAAAGAAATAACTACGCTGTATTACAAGAAGTGTGTTTATATAGAAGGCTCAGCCCTGATTGAAGAAAGAAAAATGGCCTATTACGGCGAAAGGCCTAAAGATAAGATTACTTTATATTGATTATTATTAACACCTTAACCAATTTAAATAGAAACATACACATCTTAATATGGCCCAAAAAAACAATCACAATAATTAATAATAGAATTTAATCAAATAAACTTCTTTTAACTTTAAATGGTGTATTTCTCAACTAAAGATAAATTATAGAAATCATTTGTGGGGCCTAAGTTGAAATGACATAGATATAGTTTATGCATGGGCTTGAACCTTGAAAGTACTAAGTACTAAAGTAGGTACTTTGTTTTGCGGACAAAATACCTCCAAGTTTATTATAATAAAGGCAATCATAAATTGGAAACATCATTGTTCATATAAGCTGACAATACATTTATTACGTTATACTGCTATTACAATACAATTTATGTAAATATGATTGCAAAGGTTGTTAATTTTATATTCGATTCAGTATTTGAATGTATTCTGTAATAATTGTGCAATTTATATTTATAATTAGCTGCCCCTCCGCACTTCGTTTGCCTTAATATGATTTTTTTACTTAGCCTATATATTTACCGACAATTTTTCCTTACATGAAAACCTCCTCAGACTTCAAGGAATAAAGAAAATATCACTCAAATTGCTCCAGCCTCCAGCCGTATTAGAGTTTTGTGCTTAGCAAACAGATTTTGCGATTTATTTCTATTTATGCATAGATAATTTTTAAAGAACGAATTCACTTTTTTTTACGTTCGAATGAACGAACACGCTCAAAGTCGTGGTTGGAAAATATATTTAATACTATGGAAAAATATATAGCTTAAGTTATATATCTCTATCTGTATCTCTAGATAAAGGAAAAGCGTCTACACACGGCCCTAATAGAGGAAATATCGGGGAAGTGTTGGGGAGCACCCTAGATCGCTCTCTAGATCCCACGTGTGCAAATCGTACCCTAATTTTATTATGCTACTGCCGATTCGAACTACGAGCCGATTTCATCTCCACCACCATTGTCCCGATATCGACACGCTTTTACATTCAATGGTAAAACAATTTTTGCAACCGGCATTTGCTTCTGTTTTTCACAATGCAATTGTTTATTTTACTGCCAATTTATGAATAGAATCGAATACTTCGCTAAATAGTGGTTCGGTCTGCTTCACCCAATACATAATTAAATAAATAACCCTACTGACTAATATTTATTTAAAATTAACTTTGGATTCAGTGTGTTGGTTGGTGCGTGGGCGGAGGTATACAGACTCGAGCGGTGCGATGCGCGGACCCCTCTGGGTGTGCTCCGAAGTCACCACCAGACTTCACCCGCACTTGTTCACCGAAAATTTCTTGCGAAGCACATGAAGGCCACTGGTTCACTGGTAGATGTTTTATTTTTGACTAACTTAGCTACTTTACATAGCTTATAATAAAGAGTTAATTGTCGACCAAGGCATGTGTCGTTATAGTTTTGACTGTTTATTTTTGTTTCGATCAACGGGCGGTCAACATTGTATTAGACCCTGTGAATGTGACAGTGTTTTAATGAAATTCCTTTCATAGTAAAATTTTGATTTTATTATTTAACCTATTTCGTTTAATACAAATTAAATTTGTCTTAGATTGAAGGCTTTGAACGTTAAACGTTGGGAAACTAGAAAGAAACATTTCATTCGACAAAATTCTTTTTAATGTAATAATGTACATACATACATACGAGTATAGGCATTAATTTTTTATTTCTGTTGGAAATTTTGATTGTAATGCCTAAACCTTTAACTCGCAACTAAATCTATTTTGACGTATACAGGATAAACCATATTTTAAATGATATATTTTTGTAGGGGACTGGTCCGCCTGCACCTCTCCATGCGAGGGAAAGGAAGTAAGGGGTGTACTATGTATCGGTGGTACAGGGAGACATTTGAAAGAATCTGCATGCAAGGCTCCAAAACCGGAGAGCGAACGCACTTGTGGTCAGGACTGTAATCCGGATTGGTTTACCAGTGATTGGGGACAGGTAAAAATATACTACAAAATTTTAATTTTAAACTAAGGTTTCCTCATGCATTCTGTAGCAATAAATATTCTGCAGTCATTTGTTTAAATACCTATTTACCTTACACTTAGTGCAGAAATCCTGTGAAGTGCCCAGGAGACTTCTGAGCTTCTGGAAGGAGCTAGACTGGCTAAACAAGCCAGGACTTTAAGCACAACGGACCAATTATGAGTCTAAGTGGGGAAACTGTGTCCACCAACCTTAACCTTACTTATTTACTTATTATTACTGAAAGAAGACGATACGCTAAAATTATACGGCACCCGTTAAGAGAAAAAAAGTTAAAATTCATAAGAGAAAATTCCATTTATTTTCCGTCCAGCGAATTTCTGCATACGCTCTAGAATTGACTAGTATTCGAAGTCTAGACTAAGGGTAACTTAGAATAAGATTCGTAAAGTAGACAGCGCTGTCAGACCCACGCATGTCGAAATACGTTTTGACTTACTAGTGTCATACTAAGCGTGTTTGTCCTAATGACCACAATAAGCTATCAAAAATGTTCCTTTCTGTTGAGGTTGTAGGTTCGATCCCGGGCTGTGCACCATTGGACTTTCTGTCTATGTGCGCATTTAACATTCTCTCGAACGGTGAAGTACAACGTGAGGAAACCGGCATGCCTTAGTACAAAAAGTCGACGGCGTGTGTCAGGCACAGAAGGTTTATCACCTGCTATTATATGTGCGCATGTGTGTGTGAATGTGTAAGAAAAATATTAATATTAAGTAATATTACTTATTTCCACAGTGCATAGGAAACTGTACACTCGGTATAGGTGTACAACATAGGACTGTCGTATGCGCACGCGGCGACAACGCCAACGAAACGATGTGTAAATCAACGAGACCTCACGCCACACAGCCATGTACTCCGCGTTGTATTGACTCTAACAAGCTTATTCGTGAGTTAATCTATACTAATATTATAAAGAGGAAAGGTTTGATTTTTTGTTTGTTTGAAATGAATAGGCTCCGAAACTACTGGACCGATTTCAAAAATTCTTTCACCGTTGGCAAGCTACACTATTCCCGAGTGACGTTTCATTTTCAAAAAAATTAGGGATGCTTACTAAAACTTGAATAATCTAACCCAAGTTGTAAAAAAATAAAAAAAATTCCTTCAATCACGTGCGCTGAGAAAACTATTAATGATAGAAAAAAATGATGTATGACAATTTTTCAGGACACATCACTATCTATAAAAAATGTCGCGACAGCATGTCTCCTTCGTCGTCGTCCTTTTATTAATTTTATTAAAATACCACCGCTAGAAAAGGCTCTTTATTCGTACCTAGTATTGATCCTTATCAAAATAATTACCAACGTTTCACATAAGCTACAATTTAATGGCATAACCACCAAAAAAGCATGGTGGATTGGTGTTCTCCTGCCGTTTCTCTTGAATAGTTTACTACTATGTAATATAACAAAAATCTTAGCCACAGCAACGCTTGGCCGAGTCTACTAGTGTTTTATATAAAAGATTCCAGAAACTGTACTTCTAATGAGGCTTGCGCTATATGACTGACGTCAAACCCAAAACGTTTTTGAGGAACGGGAGTCTGACTCAGTAGTGTCACGTTACTCCTGTCTATTAAAAACGTTTTGGATTTTGAAATACCAAAGTTCGCGCTGAGTTTCGACTCTGAACATGTCCAACCAATACGTATTTTTTGTATTAAACTTTCTATATTATAAAAACTGAAGGGAACTGAAAAAATAATTGTTTTAGTTATGCAAATATATAATTTTTAAATCCAATTCCAGAGTCACAAGTACAGGAAACTACACAAAGACCAACTGCACACCAACCACCAGCCACTGCAGTACCAGAAGTGAAAGGTAATATTTTATTTATAGAAACATTTATATATTTTGATTTTCATACTTTTTAAGAACTGTCTATGTTATATGGTACATCTAATTAAATACATTATATGAGTATAACAACGACAGCCATTTTATATTCAGTCCCATACTCGTACTTAGCAAATTAATACGTTAAAAACGACCGTAAATCATGTTATATATTTTGCTTAAATCCATCAATAAGTAATAATTTCATTTGTTATTTCAGATTGTGAGGACAAGTTGACAAATTGCGCTTTAGCTGTACAAGCACGACTCTGTCATTACAAGTATTACATACAGAATTGTTGCAACTCTTGTAGGACGTAATCTCATTTATATTCTATAAAAGACAACAGAGTTGGTCTATTTGCGCGATTATCCAAATACGAAGTATATTCATACGTAATAGAACGCGTTATTATGACAAATGTTAGAACATCGTTGTATGGATTGGATAGTTCCGTCTTGTTACTATGGCAAGGAAAAAACACATCTTTAATCCACATTTTTCTGACGAACATTGGACCACCAAAAGAAGTTCAATTGTATAATGTCACATAATTTTTTTGATAATCTATGGATGAAATGCTTCTACTGTCATTGGAATGACAGTTAACAAAGTAATGTTAAATGTCATTTCAGTTTTTAATGTGAAGCGACTAATACGTTTTATTTGGTCTGTTTTTATTACTCTGATTTATTTATCCTGTCAATCAAACCCCAATATACCTTCGGCTCTAATTTGAATTAATGTACAACAAATCACATTAGTTTACGCAAACGAAATATGTTTTTAAATGTGTTTAAGTATTGTATTGAGGTTTTCGTAGGTGCTAGCAGCAGTGTTTTATTTAAACATTATTGTTCGATTAGACCATAGATTTATATAAATCTATGGATTAGACATAATATACCTACATACACAGGATTTTTTAAACTTGTGCCATGAATTTGACAGTCTACCTAAGTCAAGTCACTAGTGTAAAATTTTTGTTAAAAACATCTTACAGCGTTCATGGTGGGTTTATGCAACACTTTTAATAAAGTATTTTATGCGGTCGATAGCGTATAGGAAGGAAATACATACTAATGTTATAAAATGCGATAATTTGTATTTTTACACTAATTTTAATATGTATAAATATTATGGATAATAAAGCGATTCTTTCTCCTCACTTAATATTAAGTGTATTTATTCGTAATGACTTCTAATTTACTAAAATAGTAATGTAAGCGGCAACGTGTTGTGGACCTTCGTCTCGCATTTTTAGAGTCTTGATTATACAAAGTATTGTATCTTCCTAATTTAGAATTATATAATAAATTTATATAGATTTTTATAAATACCCTGTAATTGTAAATATACGTGAATATAAAATGGAAACTAGAATTGTTTTTTATTACTGTCCCTTATTTAAGCAACCTGGCAAAAACAACAACAAAGCCTGGTAACGAAGATTTAACGTTTCTTCTGTAGAAAATTTTCATAGAGATTTTTCACAAATAAACTTATTCTTTTTTATACGCCGAAAGTGGATATATACGCACCGCAGGAATCCAAGTTACATTGCAAAGTACGCTGTCGACTGGAAACCTCAAGGCAAAAGGAAATGTGGCCGCCCAGAACAGACGGGTAACGAAGCATCATTGCAGAAGAGAGGGAAGCTGGATGCCGTCTCCCCGTCTTAGGGGAAACTGGACTTTAAGTCAAGTATTCTTAAAACCTTAATATCTCAAATAGACAACGTTTCCCCCTCTCATGGCGCCATTATGCTAATAAATAAATGTTCGGCTAGTTAATTTTACGTTTATTAAGGAATGTTTTTTTTATTTCACTTAATTTAGAGTACTTTAACCCTTAACACTGGAGTGCATGTTGCATTGTTGTGAGATTGCTCGAAAGCGATAAGGCAGCCAGCCCAGCCCTCCTTTTCATTTAATTGTGTCAATTTTATTATATTTCCATATGCAACAAATTGTTAATAAGCAAATATAATAAAAACTTTTTTTTAAAGGGCACATATTTTAACGAGATTTTTGGAATATAAAAAAAAAGACATATTATAAGGAAATAAAACGAAAAGTAGTTTTTAAAGCTTATTATTTTTGTACAATGTTATACGCGTTATTAGTACGGAAATTATTATAATTATGATGGTACAAATTATGGCGTTTTATTTAACTAAAACATAAATACTTAACAGCCAGTAAATAAATGCGCTATACAGAACTATATACACTCAATTAAAATCCATTTTAATCGATCACGTAATAAAAATCCAGACAAATTAATTATGCGTCAGCTAATTGTGCTAAAATCGTTATAAATAAATAATGAACACACACTTAAAGTAAGAGGAATACTACAATTTTCCTATCCTATTAAAAACTAGAATTAAAATCTAAATATAATACAAATTTTAAAATTATATTATTATTATTCGAAAAATTCAATGATGTTAAATTGGTGCGAATATTAAATTATGTGCATACTATTTCCTATGCACACAGGAGATATCTTAATCTCACAAAAATACACACTGTCGACTCTCTTTCTCGTATAGTGCTTATACTGTGATGAAAAGAGAAGGCTAATAAGACTGATTAATATTGGTTTAATGCGATAAAATCTCAATACTACACGAATTATTTTAATGAAAATTTAATTATTCAGAAATCTTCGACTTATACACTGGAGATCACATACTATTTCTACTGAAATACAATTCTAGATTATTTATGTCTGATGGTTATTTAATGGAAGCCTAATTTCCATTTGATAGTTAAGGCAGTCCGTATACATTTGAAAAGTATTTCTTGATTAGATAAAAACCTTTTTGGTACACAGAACTAAATGAAACATTAGTGAATTTTTGATCTGTGGAATGATGATTTATATTGTATACTGTTGTATAAAGGCTGCCAGTACGTTTTTTTATATTAAACCTTATTTTAATTACATAGGAATTATAATTAAAAAGAATATGTATACGAAGTGCCTCTCACTTATCACTGTTAGTCATAATTGTATCACATTACATCTCTGCGTACGGCGCCTGCGCCTGAAACAAATATTATCAAATTGAAATTTATGTTCGATTTCTTAAATTATTTTAATAATAATAATAATTTCAGTTGATTTATTTTATAGTATATACTGAATATAAATGGAAACAACGTTTATTTCTAAATACATCTATTAGATACCTACACGAAAAATTTGATTTTTTTTTAAATGGTTAAAAATTATTTTCGGGGCGTGAGAACGGGCAATGCATGGCGTAGTCATAAATTGGACGTAGAAAAATCTATAAAAAAGTATACCAACAACAAGAACAACAAGTATACCAACAACAACAACAACAAGTAAGAGATAGTACCTATCGTCCATGACAGGACTTGCAGCAGTTATCTCCGTAATAATGGTAATGGCAGAGACGAGCCTGGACCGCCAACATGCAGTTACTCAGCTTATCTGTACATCCTCCTGAAAGTTTAAAATGTTTAGTCAAAAATATCATTATTTTTTTAATTTCTACTGTGTTGCCATATTCGTTGCTGCTTGGTATTACAAATTATCATAAATAAATAATACATATTATGTGAATGATATGACCGATATAATCATCAAAGGAGTAATTTTTTTGGCAAACAGGATGTAGGAAGTTGCCCATGGAAAGTCACACTGCCAGACTCACAAGTACATTGCCGATTTAAGATTTGGTATTGACATACCAACAAATGTCTTCATTTATTATTGGTAATTAATTACTTATTATCCTATTAATCATTTTTTTTGACTAACAAACATACATAACAACATGTTATTGCAGTACCGTTTGTCACACAAATTCTTTAAATTTAAATTCGCAAGTCGTTATCACTGGGATTTCACCTAGGGGTGACGTGTCATATCTTGGGGTAAAATTCAGAATCGAGACGACGCGTGAACTGTGAACACATGTCAAAATCCTTTATATTTTTGACATATGGGATTTAGATTTTTCCATGTCGAATTAAAAGTTAACGAATTATTCTTCGTTTAGTCTTAGATGATAGTAATCTGTCTGTACCTGTACCAATTTGAATTTATATATATAATAATCTTACTAACAGTAATGTATCTGACAGTCATATTTCAGTGTCAATTTTAAAGAAATAACTAAACCCAGACAAAATACGGAATATTGCAACCTATTTCGTATATGGCAACATTAAAAGTGTATTAGTATCAAATTGTTATCTATCAATTTCTGGCGGCCTATCGCTGACTACTGACAAAGCTCTCGACATAAACTTCAGGTTTGAACTATGTAGTTTCGGAGAAATGATAATCGAACACTTACCCTTACTATATGTTCGCTGTTTGACACTCTGTATATTAGGACTCTGATGCCTAGTCACTCGATTTTGGGAATCTGAAAATTATTATAAAATTAAACATCCTAGTGACGGATACTTTGATTATGTTTTACTTAGTATCTATTATCGGTAGTGGTCTGATCGGTTTTAAAGAAAGCATAGTAAAGTGCCTATCTCATAGATCGGCTGTTGTGCTGGATTTTTTTGCTTAACAATTAACAAAAATTACTAGCATTTTTAATTTTTTGTAACATGTTTACCAAAATTGTCATATATTTTATATAAGATAGCTTGTACTATAAACTGTAGATATTGCATTATGTATGATGTGGTAAACTTCAATAAATAAAATATATAGTATAATCCATTGTAATCTATAAGTGTTCTATAAATAAACAATAAAAATGAGGTTTTAAGGTAAAATTACTTAAACAAATATCGCCCATGGAAGAAATTGAATTATGAGACAATGTTCTATCTTTTGGATTTATTTATGCTTCGTGGCTACATTTTACTACGATAATGGAGATATTGGAACAGTTTTGTGATTTACACGCTCTTTGTAAAGTACTTGTATTGAATTCAAACTCAAACTCTTTATTCATGTAGGTAAACAATAACACTTATGAATTGTCAAGTTAAATTAATTGTAAATTTACATTTACTACCACTTCGCAAGTCAAGGGCGTAGAGCGGGTAAGAAGAACTGGCAAGAAACTTTCCGCCACTCTTTTTAATCGCCAAGTATTGTCATACAAATTGTTTGAATTGGAGCAAATCGATCCCAAGGATTAGGATCATTTAATTGTATTCATACCATAGATGTACATTAAAAAAGTATTGAGAATATCCATACCGCTAAATCACCTGCATCATGAGCACTCCCCCCATACATACCATCACTTTCACACCATCACACAACATAGCCAAATTAGGTATTACTTTGTTCAATGTATTTGATAATTTTCATTGATTCTTTTGTAAATGTTTGAACCTTTTTGTATATATTATGAATTCCATTTTTGGCTATATCTTTGGTATTATTGTTTTTTGTTACATATCATTTATTTAGGTAAATGTTATTAAATAAATATCGAAGAAGTAAATGTATCTTTTTAAAATCTTAGTAACGTAACGCTCGCTTTTTAGTGAATTATTATATAATATAGTATCTGACTGATAAAAATGTTAACTGAAAATCTACTAGTAAATACATAAACGAATCAGCATTATACTGAGGAGCAGAATGTTCCACAGCATAATGCTGATTCGTTGCTGGTCTCTGGCAAAATGACCAGCGCTGTGGAACATTCTGCTCCTCAGCATAATGCTGAGCCAGGGACAATTACAACCACAGCACACACGCATTACACACTTGAAACGAACCGAATGGGAAAATGTATGTTTTGTTTTTGATATCTCTCATTTTATTTGATTATTGTTATTTTAATTTAGTAGTAGTAGTTAAATGCCAAAATATGGCATACAACAATGGGAGATTATAGATTAAGATAATATATTTTACGACATTTCTTGGATTATATTATCTGGTGATATTCTTACCAGTGGTCACAGGGTTAATAACAGCTGGTTTCACAACAGGACGTGTCGTGCATCGAGGTGGAACACAAGACTTTCGAGCCAAAGGTCTCAAGCCAGGACACTCGGAGTCTCTAGCTGCACCTTCAGCTCCGTCAACACCGCCGCGCGCGCACCAGACAGTACGTGTCTGTATGCCCGCCTCGCATGGACCCGTACACTAAAAAAATCCACTTAATTATATCTAGGTATATTAAATTATAATAATATAGTCAGACCTTTTAAATAAATCACGAATAATTGTCGAATGCTTCACGAATTAATAATTTTATTATTATAAACAAGTGAAGATTTATATAATTAACCAAAAACCAAACTACTGTACGTATGTATGCCACTGAACTCCTCTTATACGGCTGGACCCATTTAAATGAATTTTTTGTATGCCTTTGGGTGGATGGTTTAGATTCAGAAATCAGCCCGGCAGATGGCTCTGTAGTCGTTATCTAGTTTATTTATCTATACAGAATATATACAGCTGGTATTTATATAAATCTTCTGTGCATGTGCTCGTAGTTAAACTCCTAAACGGCTGGACAGATTTCGATGAAATTCTTTTGTGTGTTCAAGTGGAATCGAGAATGATTTACATTATTAGATCATTTTTTTTACATGTAGGACGTGTATAGAGGAAAACGTCTGTCGGATCCGCTAGTGTTATATAATTTTTTGCGGCTAAATTTATATCTAAGTTTAAATCTAAACTTAAGAAAATGCCTATTTACCTCTCCCCAATCACTGAGGTACCACGACGGAGCACAAGTTCCCCCACAAGCCCGCTCAGCATCAGGCTTTGGTGACCTACAAGATCCATCTCGCAGCCGTCTTCCATTTCCACCAATGCAAATAACCCCACGAATCTGACGCCCACCACATGGAGCTGAACAGGCTGACCAGTCTCCTGCAATGGTTACTAGCTTAGCAAGAGAACTTAGTTCGTTTTATTAAAAGTTACAAATATATAACTAATCTCCTAAGTGAAATGTTAGTACAATCATACCCGTGAACCATTGCGCATCACACTGTTTTCTCGCAGAACAAGACTGGGAAGAATGTGGTGCGCGAAGAGCTGAACAACCGGCTGGGTCAGCGCACCTTACTCCTCGAGACTGTACTCCACCCCCAATGCACGCACCAACACACTAAAATCAGAATTGTATTACAGTCATTTAAAAACAACTAGGATATACCGGATATCTTAGGTTTTCAATCATTTTTTTTTATATGATAGGGGGGCAAACGAGCTTGCGGGACGACCAAAAAGGGCAGTCTACGCAGCCCATAGACACCCACTTTTAGTGAGTGCGTTGCCGGCCTTTGAGGGAGGAGTAGACTTGCTTTTTAAACATTTGGAGGTCGTATCTCTGAGGGAAGACCCCCTCCCGGGAGCCGATTGATAATTACATATATAAACGTAGCATTTACCTCTGACCACTCTGTATACAGCCATCCACCTGCTGCCGTAAAACTGTACGATGGTCCCAAGGTTGGAACAACTTCGTTTTCAGAAACATTGCTGGCAAGCGAGATGACAGGACCTTCCCTAAACGTGTCCGTATGATCTCTTGTTCGTACTTGACGCCTGGCATCCAATCTTGGTGTCTTTTGATCTTTAGCTTCAGTTGTTCCATCACAATTAGGAATATCGCAGGGTTCACTGCTGGGAGGCATCGGAAGTGGACATTTTTGATCAGATATCTGAAACATTAATTTTCTTTAAAGAATTCAATCTGTAGAAGAAGAAGAAAAATTAAAGGTAGCTTATAGACTAAAGTACTAAAGTGATGTTTTAAATCACAATATATTCTTATAGTGCCATATTCTTTCGAATGTTGGCGTCATCATGACTACTTGAGTTATCTTACCTTGGTAATGCCTCGTGCGTGATCCTGCACACAACCTACAATCCTTGTCCTATGGGCCGGGCCACACACTGGACATGGTCCCCATGCTGCAGCTCTCCAACGAGGTGGACAAGGATTTCCGCCGCATCTCCTGCGGCGGGCAGATGGAGGAGATCCAGTACAATGTGCCGGAGAGACTTCTCTGTCTTCTCTACCAACCACTTCTACGCACTTGAATTTACCGATCTGCAGGCCTCCACCACAAGATCTAGAACACTGCGTGTACGACAATATCTTCCATATGAACTGTCTATTCCCGATGACGTTACTTTCAACAGGAATTTGATTCTCTTTTGAGTTATAATCGGGATGTTTCGATAATGTAGGATCGATTTTATCTCTCGTGTGAGATTCGGCGTTATGATGACGATGATGCCTCTGAACTTGATGATGATGAGGCACACTGACTTCAGTCGGAATATCGTTGCTAGTTTCGTCAGGCAATGAATCAGTTAAGTATTCGTATTTAATATTCGGATGCGGTTGAGTATATAGAACCTGTAAATTGAATACGACAATAAATTAAATAGACAATGGAAGTCTTTTGATTAGATGACATTGCAACTTTGATTGCTACATACCATAATGTCGATGGCTTGATGTATAGGTCCCATTGCAAATATATTGTCGAGTCCCCCAGAACGTGAATATATAAAACGTGCTCCAGCCGCTTCGTAGGTGCCCGGGGCGCTAACAGCAAATTCGCCGTTAACAATGTACGAGCCATTCGAAACTCTCAGAGCTAGAATGAACAAGAAAGTACAGTTTTTATTAGCAAATTGAGTTATTTTATCTTAAGCTAGGGATGCATCCGATACCGATATATCGGCGATACTTTGGGTTTGCAGATACAATGATACTTTTCAAATTTTGCGCTTTAAAAAAGTAATGTAAACGTGCATCTTGTTTGATCTAGTTCATTGCAAACGAGGCACGGACTATCTATGCCCGGGGAATCCCCGTGTTTTAATCAGTTTGTTGTTGTCTCACCCGCTTTATTCCATTTCGCTAGACACTTTAGTTGGCTTTTAACTGCTATCGCGCGTAGTATTTTTTCGATACCAAATTAAATAATATACAGAATTACAAAAATCTTATAAATGTTAATTCTAATTACTAACAGTTTTTTATTTTATTTTAATAAATTTATTACTCTTAATTCTTAATTTTAATAACTAAACCTTAAATCTTATTCAAAGTTTGGGACTGTTTATATTTTTTTATAAAAATTAAAAACTAACCAAACTTGATATATTTTTTTACCCTAATTTAATTTTAATTCAATAAGCGTTTGTATCGGTATCGGCAAAAAGGCGTATCAATGCATCCCTATCAAAAACTAATGTTAAGAAAACATTAAAAATAACTCGCATTCCAATTGAAAGTATAAAGACGGTCCCGCAAATGTCCATGCAAATATTTTATCTAAATACACGTGGGTATCGAATTACTCATCAAATAATAAACGTGAAGATGTTACGGTCGTGTTATATTTACGGAACAATTAACAAATTGGCGAAACGATTGCCGACTGCGTCATGCAAATAATTAACCACCAATTGCTGAGACCGCTATCTCGATTTATCTCGCAATTATTCTTAGGCGTAGGCGCCTCCATTGAACAACCGCAAATGCACGCGTGCAATTTCAATTAATCGATTCGACATCAATCTTTGCACTACGCACTTCATCGTCCTATTAAAATTTCTCGTGACCCAGTATTGGTGAACTAAATCATTTCAATAAAAATTGAAACCTATTGGCTAGGCCTGCTGTACCGAAAGCTTCATTGTACGGCCTTGGAGACAACATCTGCTCATTAACTACGGGCTACTTATGTTTATTGAACTAATATGAACTCAATTAAATCCTTACAATTCCTTTACGGCTGACCTATATTACCACAATTAAGTAATTTATATTCATCTATTTAAAATTAAATAATATTCATTGACTTTCCACCAATATAGTCAATATAAGTTGCATTTACCAATATAATTTTCGCTGGAGACCATTTCCGAGACGTTCAGTCTGCAAGCCCCAGTGGGTACGGTGGTGACGTAGGAGTATCCGAGGGGTAGCCTGGGTCTAGAGAAGAGTCCTGACACCAGGCGTTTGCCACATTGTAGCTCTCGGCTTGCGGTAGAAGATAGCACGCCTTCTCTACCTACAACCTGAAAAAAATACTATTTTTATAAACCTATTAAAACTACGGTAATAGGGACAATTACTGGCCATTGTCTCCTTAATATACATCTTTTTGTCCTAGGCGCATGTGCAGAGGCTGTTTCAACTTTCAGCGCAGAGGAATCAGTCATCCACGTAGTCCTGGAATGCGAGCCTATGGCTAAACAACGAGCAGAAATCCTCGGAACAGTGAGGTCGCTCAGTGAAGCCTGCGAAGTGTCCAAGAGGCTTCTGTGCTTTTGGAAGGAGTTAGGCTGGCTTAGTTAGCCGGACGGACCTATTGAGAGTCTGAGTGCGGTAACTGAGTCTATACTACAAACCAATACCAAACCTATAACAACATTCATAATAAACAATATAACTTTATGATTGAAATATTTGGATAAAAAATTGTTGTACCTTTGTTTTTTTTTATTTAAAGAAAGATTGAAAGAAGAGTTACGTGTTAAACAGTGGTGAGTGAAAAAATAGAACACAATAACAGAGTGTCTTCCCCTTAATAGGGACTGTAAGTAGTGTTATTGGACACTTTCTTACGTTAAGTATCCTTATTAGTAAATTAGGTTAGACTTAAATTACTTATAATTCTTAAGTTTGGCTAGATCGTAATGTTCCATGAGGTCTTTAGTAAAGACATGTATTAAAAAAATTAAAATACAAAAATTTGCATAAACTGATCACAATTTCTCCGTATGTTGGTTTGTCATTATAAAAATCTCTTCATGTACAAGAAAAGATACAAATTCTATCAGAAACAAAGTATAATTATATTCTTAAGTAGATAAAGAAAATATTCACAGCTTATCGCGCCATTAAAATGCATCGAGCCATTTTACGCAATATTAAATCAGTCACGCGTATTCTTAGTTGACTGCGATCTGTGAGGATGGGGATTAACACGTCAACGCATTTCACGGATGTCTTGCGCCCGCGCATATCGCGATGTAACTATAACTTAGCATTGGAGGTTTAAAGATGTTATTTAGTATCAAAAACTATTTTACGATTAACTATTTTATTTTACTCTGATTTTGTTCCATTTGGAGTAGATACTCTTGGGCCGTGTTCAAGTGTGGTTAAATAAATAAAGATTTAAGTAGGCGCCTGGTAGATAGTACCGGTGACCCCAGAGCTGGTGTTTTCCTCACTCAACGATTAATTATCGTAATACAGCGAGGAAATGCTGCCAGAGTTAATGGTACACTGCCACAGGGACCAAATTTTTTAAATTTGTTTTAATTGTGTATTTAAATAATTATTCGTTATTATTACTACATAAGTGAAGAATAAAGTAAATATGTACTGTATATTTGTGTGTTAGAAATAAATTTATATTTAAACATCCTACGCATTCACCTCCCCACCCGATTCTATAACTAGAATGACAGGTGTAACAAGACCATATTATATTATACTTATTAGCATCAAAGACGCTAAACTGCGCACAGTTTTCGCAAAATTGAGGGGTGGTGAACAACCCAAGTGTTCTGCAAGAACTCTTGGGTGTTGCTGCTTCTTTGGTGTTTGCGATAAAAAAGGGCCAGAACCAGTCTGTTGCATCGATCCCCGTTTACAAAGACGTTGCGCTACTGAATGTTGTCTCCGGCACTATCGACATCTTTATATGATCGCAGAGTGTGTTCACAATAGCGATATTGTGTTTTTTTTAAACAGAGGCAGGATGCTAACCTGATGTTCAGTAATAGAGGACAAGTCTTTGTTTTTAATTTATGTTATTATTATTAATTACTTAAGATGTCATGTGGAACATGGTGTAATGGTTGCAGTTACAAACGTTGTGTAAAAAATAATTGGCGATTAAAAAAGAATGGCGGAGAGTTTATAGCCAGTTCTTCTCTTTACGCCGTTGAATTGAGAACTGGCACTAAATGTAAATTTAGAAGCATTTCATTTATATTTCTTTATTTGACGTTCATACGTGTACATTGTGTTACGTACATGATTAAATGATTTTTGACTTTTGTTACCCGCCGCCCATGGACTCGTGAGGCTGATGGCTCGCGAGTGCATTGCCGGCCTATTAAGAATTGGTACGCTTTTGAAGGACCCTAAGTCGAATTGATTCGGAAATACTTCAGGGTGTATATTATGTATTTTTTGTATTAACATTATTGTATTGGCTTAGTACTGTAAGGAAATTGTATGTATTTTTTGTAAAAGTAGATAAATAAAATAATGAAAACCGTCCGTTTGCTTTTACTACTTAAAATAAATTCTAAATACATCTTTAATGTACATTGGTATAATACATAGATTTGAATCTACCAAGCGGTTGAACTAGTCTCGATCCGACTACACCTTTCCCATGTTTTAATACAAGCACTTATGATCTATGGCTAATTAAAAATCTCATTCAATTGATATATCATCAAGGAATGCAAAACATTTCTAACGAATGGCTAACGGCATCGAATATATGCTTTAATTGAACTTACATAGATTTTATAACTCCAATTCCGCTTACAAATCGAAAAAGCTGTCTTATTTATTGTAACAAAATATATCGAGTTATTTATATATGTAGAGAATTTGATCCGAAAGTCGGATTTGATTCCTAACGAAACAATCTTAATTTGGGTTGATTTAAAATATTAAACATACGCAGAAATGCAATTGCAGGGGTTAAATAATTTTAAACACACATTTGAAGTGTTATAGTTACGCAAACGTTAAGGCAAAAGACGGGCTGGTAGAAGGAAGATGTCGTGGTCCGGAACGTACGGCAGTCCGGCATCCGCTTAGGAGCTTTTTAGACTAGCGCAAGATGATGATGAGAACACTTATGAACCTCAACAACAATGTTAAATTGATTCTAAATTTACATTTGATACCAGTTCGTTTACTACAAGTCAAGGGCGTAGAGCGGGCAAGAAGAACTGGCAAGAAACTCTCCGCCACTCTTTTAAATCGCCAAGTTTTGAGTCATACAAATTGTTTCAACTGGAGCAAATCAACCTTTAGCAATAAAGTGGCTCCAGTGACCAGAAAAAGAAGAGAGTTACTCTTAGATACACTATATATTATATACTTTTCGTTAAATTTCTAGGTCCGATTTCAAATTAATTTGGGAGAAATTTGTAGAAGAAATTCGTTTTTTACACCGATATATTGCAATATTTAGACAGTCTACGAATCTTTGATTCTATATTATTATTTTTTTATCTATAATACCAGCTTTCTAGCAATAAACGGTTTATGATCTCTCCATAATACTTATAATCTAGTTTTTAAACTGGCTTCCAGCAAAATTCTAATGACGAAACTATGTTGTTGATAAAACAAGATACCACAGTTTATATTATAAAAATATACGTGATTAAATTGGAACTGTTTTCTTTGTTATAACATTTTTTTAGAAATCGCATGTGCGACAATATTATTTGAATGGAATGTGAACGTGAACTTTGAAAATCTATTTATTTGTTTGTCAATAAAATTTTCTAAAATAAATGACAATACGGTGAACATATCTTATAAAAAAAATTATTTACTACACTTTCAAATTAGAGCTTTTTAATTATTACTTAGTAATTACGTATTTAAAAATACTTCACCTATTACTGATTAGTTACCTAAAGGGAGCTAAACAGTTCCTTTTTAAAAATGATCAGCCAACTACCGTATATATCCAGCTCTGGATAAGTACTATTTATTCCGTTATATTCGCGAAGAATTCGTATGAGAGGTGTCTGAACTAGTTTGGTTTTTACCGATGGAATATGAAAGATCTTGTTAATTTTAAACCTTGGGAATGAATGACGACAATGTTAATATTCTAAGCGATTGCTGTTCTGTATTTGACCATTTAACAATTTGCACACGAACGTAACACCAAGATCTCCGTCAGTTTTAAATATTTAGTTACTGATATAATATAATCATTAAATCGAAAATTTGTATTTTCTGGTTTCCTTTGAACTTTATTGTGAGGCTGGGAAAAGAGACGCTCATGTCCATCACCCAGGCGCAGAAGCTTGCCGGAGACAGTGAGTGGAGAAAGTGCAGTGCCACTAACACGACCTTCAGAAATGAAGAGCGTGACTGAAGATGTCAAAATCCAATGTATCAAGCGAGTAATTCGAGAGTTCGTTGTTCACACATTCGTTGATTAATTAATTTATTGTGTCTGTTTGGAAGAAGTAATAGATGCATGTGGCTAGATGCTTACATCATTTCGTAATATTTAATGCGACACTAATGCGTGTAGAACATTAGTGAATAGTAATGTCAGTTTTACGAGCATGTTACAGATAACGACATCTAAATCTTGTATTGGACGCGGGAGTAATTTTAATCGTTAAGTGTGTGAAGAAACTATAAAATTGTTTGTCCCCCCAAACGGAGGACACTAGGGCTGCCAAGATTTATGTTTCCTTTGTCCTAATCAAATTATTTATATTTTCTAGCCGGAATTACAAAGAACAGCTGGCCCACACTGGAGCCAAATTACACATGGGTATCTTTAACGAAGGCTTTACAGTACTAGGACGAGATGATTTAGAACAAGTAATTGTAATTACAAGTTAAATTTTAAATAAATAATGATATATCTACCTTTTATAACAGTCTAAAGCAAGAAAATAAATTAATTTGTATTTTTATTTTTTTACAGTTAAAATGCTTTTGCGTTTTGTGATGCCACGTTCGGACGGTAATAGACTGTGTTCTCAATATGCACATATTTTTTTAAAAGGGGTTGGAGGCTCATCTGAGGTTAAGTGATACCGCACATGGACACTCAATGCCAGAGGGCTCGCTAGTGCGTTGCCGGCCTTTTAAGAATTGGTACGGTACTTGAAAGACCCTAAATCGAATTGGTTCGGAAATACTTCAGTTGGAAGCTGGAGCTTTGGAAATATATTTAATATCCAAATAAGAAATGATTCAACCAACTGTCGTCACACATAAACGACAACGGCTCAATCCGGTAGCCGTACTTTTCTTATAAAGATCAATTGATAACATTTAAGCTCTCTATTAAGCTGGAAACGAGTTCCAAATGATACAAAGGCATTCAAGTAACAATCAGAAGCCATAAAAACCCACTCATTATTTAAAATCGTTTGAGTAGTTAAGGATTTATTTACGGCCGATGTTTGGTATTATAAAAAGCATTGCGCTTGTAAATAGATTTTAATAATGTTAATTGTATGGCCTACTTGGCTGGATTGCCATTGCAATTGGATGGTTGGATTAATAACAATACCTAGTTGAAAGAATACAGGATTACATTACTTGAATGAATATCGTAAAAAAATCCCTCTTCTATGTTCCATATCTTCTTCTTCGTATAGTGCTTCGAAGTTCTTTCGAAGGTTGGCGATCATCATGGCTACTTTAATTCTGGATGCCGCGCTTATGAACAATGACTTGGTGCTTTGACGAAACCATTGTCTACGATTCTTCAACCAAGACGTGCGTCTGCGGTCTTCATATAAACTGCGGACGTTCTTCGCACCCTCTGACTACATAATGTCTACCGGGGTCTACTATAACCCTTAGTGGGTTATAGCTATATATGTTTCAGCCATAATGATATCCTGGGAAAAAATAATGTGGTGGTTTTCGGTTGCTTTCCATATCGCTGCTTCCTGGTCTTACCAAGAATATGAGTGACGACTGTACAGGCTTTTTAAGCTCACACTTATTCAGTCTACCATCTACTAATTTCAGTATACTAAGTGAATTACTATGTTGTGAACTATATGAAATATGAAAACAACTTCTATACGTCTAGCTAGCTTAACCTAAGTATATAAAGCATAATCTAACATAATACATATATGTATATCTCTCTATATCTCTATACATCTATCTCTTAGATACCCATTTGGTCCATTGTGCAATAACTCCTGTCTAATAGCCAGCCTGGCTCCTTCCAGAAGCTCGGATGTTTCCTGAGCAGGCTTCACGGA